ACGAGCACACAGTCCACCTGATGGTAAGTGGTTGCTGCGGCTCATAGACATCTACATCTATCCTCGTTTGCGAATCAAAATGCAGATACGTTATCACCCGTGAGGACTAAGATGGAATGCCTCATTTCCAGTAAAAAGGGCCTCCGGCCACCTGCACTCACCAAGCGAAACGCAAAGGTAAACCTCTACTTCACGCTGGTATTCTGTGAGGTCGTGGTACCACCCCGGTTCGAGCCGGCCCATCCGTGCGACAGCAAAAGCTGCCGCGTGGCTCTACCACTGTTAAAATGTAATGTGTTTACATGTTACATGTAAATTTGTTGATAGTAAAATTTACGGAAATTTATTCCTGGACACAGGCGGCAAGAATGCGTCAATTCATTATTTAGAATATTTTCCCACACTCACTTTATTGGACAGGCGGGTTAGTAAGCACACAGCTGACACTTTTGCTATTATAATGCATATTTGCATCATCAGTCTATCCTATCTGTTATTTACGTATTTCTATTGATAAAATCGTCACTTTACCGGGATTTTCTCCCGTATCGTAGAGGCGTTTAATATAAATTAACTATATAGACAAATCCAGTCCGGATGCCAATCATGTCTGGATGACATGGTACTTTTATTTGTAGGCCATATAAGCAATTGTGCAAAACTAGTTCCCGTGACATCGCAACAATGCCACACACTTTGCCATCGATCCATCAATTTTATAATTTTAATAAATATAATTTAATTCTTAATTGCAGTGTGGTCTCAAGCATGTGCATTAATATCGCCGTGTAGTACCAGCCTACGAAAATGCCCAGGGTACCGTAAGATGTGACAAATACTTTTTGTGTTTTTTTAATGAAGAAGGAACAAACGAGCATGCGGTTTACCTGATGGTGTCGACCGTCGCTCGAGAATATCCGGAAAAATTCCACAAATAAGTCGTGTGAAGAAACCTACTAGTAGATCGCACAATAGTGGACCAACACAAGCATACAAATGGTGTGGTAACGTGAGTTTTGTCGCGATGTGCGTTGGTGAAATTTGGCGAATAACTCCTCAGATCACTCCTCGTGGTAAAAATGGTAGAAAATACAAAGGCAAATGCTGGCGCTGGGAAGAAATGTTGCATCAACAAACTTTGTTAAACAAATACTCGACTTCAGTCACAACTTTGTTCTGGAACTCGCGACGTGTTCCCAAGAAATATTGGCAAGGCCGGTGTAAAAGGCATCACCAGTGCTGTCCCCCGCATAACAATAATAAATGTAACTGGTTTGCAACATACAATTGATATGCATAAGAAAGAGCGTAGATAGCTTTGCGGTTTGCCTTGGAAATAACTATATCTTTTTATCCCGCGACGTCGATGTGGCAGCACAGGCCCGGTAGCACTCCTGCTTATAGAGTGATGCGATTTTCCAGGAGCGACCACACCATGGCTGGAACATGACTGGCACAGAAAATGGAAAAAAAAGTTCCATTCCTTGAAGTACCACATCAGCGACAGCAACAACGCTGATCTCATCCAATGAGAATCCAATCCGCCTCCAAGGGAAGAATGCAAAAATATTCGAATCCTATCTCAATAGGCCGACCCACAGTGCCAAGTACGATGGCGATCTATACAACGCAACCGCGATGAGAGCGTGAGTGGCACTATACTCCAGATCAGATAATAGTCTGAAGAGCCATGAGAGATGTAGAAGCAGACATGATATCCGTTCAGATGAGAGGTCAGCAGAAGGTCCAACAGGGAAGGTGCATGATCCTAAACATCTGGAATCCGCATAGGCGAAGTAACCAGTTGCGTCAGACCATATACCAAGGCAAATTTACGTACCTCCCCGATTCGAACCGGCTTATTCGTGCCAAAAACTGCAGCGTGGATCTGGCAGCCTAAGAAAATCCTCAACTATACATCATAGCCATAGGGTACCGTAAGATATGACAAATATTTTTTTTATGTTTTTTAATGAAGAGGGAGCAAACGAGCAAGCGGCTCACCTGATGGTAAGTGTCGACCGTCGCCCGTGAAAATCCGGAAAAATTCCACAAATATGTCGTGTGAGGTAGAAAACTAGTAGATCGCACAGTAGTGGACCAACACAAGCAGACGAATGATGTGGTAACGTGAGTTTTGTCGCGATGTGCGTTGGTGAAATTTGGTAAACAACTCCTCAGATCACTCCTCGCGGTAAAAGCGGTAGAAAATACAAAGGCAAATGCTGGCGCCAGTGAATCGAGCCGCTTCGAGAGAACTTGGTCGTCAACGACTCAAGTTGCTCTGCGCTGGATGCGGCCAAGTGGAAGGAGCTCGCACTGGGAAGCTTCAGCCCAGAGATGAGAACAGTATTCCATATACGGCTGAACCTGCGCCTTGTAAAGTTGCAAGCGTTGTACTGGCATGAAATACTTTCCCACTCTGCTGAACTTTTTAGAGGCTAATTTAGCCTTCCATTCCAAGTGGACATTGTTTAGGCCAAAAATGGGCATTTGAAATTTGAATCCAATAACGCGCGCTCGACGCGTCATCCGATGGTATCGAGGGGAGGTTAACGCCGCCGGGGAGGGGGGAGAGGCCGTGTGCCGCTTCCTGTTATTCAGCCGCGTGGGCTGGCAACAGTGTTTTGAACGCGGCGGCTTTGTCTATTAGTATTGTTTGCGACTGTTAGTAGGTTGCGCGCGCCCGGTGTTTTGATTTGAAAATTTGGGTTAATTGTGCGCGTCGTTTTGAATTTACTATTGAATATTTGGGTCTAGTTACGACCGCCTCGAATAGAGTGTCTGCTTTGAGCGTTACGTGACAGCAAGTCCTAATTTGAGTTTTGAGTGATTAAAGTAACTGATTGCCATTAGTTTGCGACGACGGGTTGTCGAGAAAACTCTAAAGTTTTGTAACTCGAGAAGAGACTGCGTTCGTTCTAACTTCTAATTTTGTACTAAGTGAACCTGGAACATTGAATATTGAACTTTGACCGACTGTTCTTTACTTGTGTCGTGTGTGAATTGTTTTAATTTCGAAGAACGTTAATTTGGTTGACTTTGAAGTTAATTAAATGTACAATAAAGTGGATAAACTAATATAGTGAAATGAAAGTAGAAGTTTTCAATTGGTGAACGCTCCTCCCTGGCGGGATCGCACATTTGGAGAGAAGCAGCGCCTGTGTATCTGCAGTCCGACTACATCGGGGATGTCAGGTTACACATGTACATACTATTACACACTACTTACATGCACATCACCTGACTGGTACCCTGTGGTCAAGCCTACCTCCGGAAATCGGTAAGTTGTGCTTGCTTATTTGCCATCAATTTAGAACTATCCATAGGTAGTCCGAACCCTCGGCTGCTCGTCGAGGAGGCTACTATGGGCCCTAGCATATTCGACTATTGCCGGGGCAGCTGGGGGCCGTAACAAACATGAAATTGTACGTTACTCGATATGTTGACGCTGAGGCAACAACAGGGAGTGCTCTGAAATTGAGAAGATATGGAAATGGGTTTTTTAGCCTAAAATGCGCAAACTTCAATCTGAACTGGACTATACTCCGATCCGTGACTTTGTTAAGCAAATACTCGACTTCAGTCACAAGTTTGTTCTGAAACTTACGACGTGTTCCCAAGAAATATTGGCAAGGCCGGTGTAAAAGGCATCACCAGTGCTGTCCCCCGCATAATAATAATAAATGTGGCGGTTTGCCTTGACAATAACTATATCCTTTTATCCCGGGACGTCGATGTGGCAGCCCAGGCCCGGTAGCACTCCTGCTTATAGAGTGATGCAATTTTACAGGAGCGACAACACCATGGCTGGAACATGACTGGCACAGAAAATGGAAAAAAAAGTTCCATTCCTTGAAGTACCACATCAGCGACAGCAACAACGCTGATCTCATCCAACGAGAATCCAATCCGCCTCCAAGGGAAGCACGCAAAAATATTCGAATCGGCCGACCCACAGTGCCAAGAACGATGGCGATCTACACAACGCAACCGCAATGAGAGCGTGAGTGGCACTATATTCCAGATCAGATAATAGTCTGAAGAGCCATTAAAGATGTAGAAGCAGACATGATATCCGTTCAGATGAGAGGTCAGCAGAAGGTTCAACAGGGAAGGTGCATGATTCTAAACATCTGGAATCCGCATAGCAGAAGTAACCAGTTGAGTTATACCATATGCCAAGGAAAATTTACGTACCTCCCCGGTTCGAACCGGCTTATACGTGACAAAAGCTGCAGCGTGGATCTACCACAGTTAATTAATAATAATATATTTTAGTTGTAGTAAGAATAAGTCGGCTGGACTGGGGAAGAATTATGCTCCCACAGAATACGAGTGTAATGTAGTACCTCAATGCTAGTATGTTTCGTATAGTAAACTCTTTACGTCAACCGGAGACCATTTTTACTGTAAACGAGGCATTCCATCCATCCATGCATCTGCATTTTAGCTATCAATCGAGGATAAATATATATGTCATTGAGCCACAGCATCCACATATCATCAGGTGGACTGTGTGCTCTTTTGTCACACTTATTCTAAAAAAAAAATGGTGGGTGTAGAGAACCGGAGTACCTTTTTTAATGGAAACGAGGCATTTGGTATTAATGTAGTCTACGAAATAGTCTCGTCTAGTCTATGAAAATGATGATGCTAGTTGTACTCTTTAAATATCTGAATTAGTGCAGAAAGAAAGTTATCTGTATTTGTTAGACATTTGTGGAATTTCAATAAATATAGTAATAAAGCATATGGAATACTTTATTTTTATGTAAATCATTAAACGATCCGCGTTTACGCACTCACTTATTACAGGGAGAAATATTACTTTCAAAAAGTTTTATTTTTAGATGACGATTCCATTATTTTGTTTTCAGGCTTTTATAGTACTCGGCACATTTTTGTTGTCACTCAGCGCAGGTGCAACGGCAGGGTTTTCTGTAGTCCTTATTCCGCAACTACAACTCGTAAAGGGACATAAAAAATACTCTACCGAGATGGTGTCTTGGGTAGGTATGTGTAAATATAATATAATTTTAATGATATGCTTTCATTATCTGCTTATAACATTTGATATTTTTCTTTTCAGCGGCTATTTCGTCACTGGCTTTATTATTCGGTAACATGATTTCAGGATATCTAATGGATAGATTGGGTAGAAGATCATCTCAAATGCTACTTTCATTGTTTTATATTGGAGGATGGCAAATAATAACAATTGTGACTAATATACATCTAATTTTGGTTGGAAGGTTTATAACTGGCGTTTGCCAGGGATGATTGAGTCCCCTTGGGCCAGTTTTTGTGGGAGAAATAAGTTCACCGGCATATAGAGGTTTGTTCGCTAAGCTTGTCATTGAGCGTTGCTTTCGGAGTGTTCATGTCTTATCTGTTTGGAACGTTGCTGCACTGGAGTCATGCATCTTTGCTTTGTGGAACTTTTCCTCTAATTGGATGCATTATAGATAGATAGATAGATAATTCTTTATTGTACACCAAATCAATACATAAACGAAAGAAAAAGAAAAAAAAATAGTGACACAATGGGCGGTCTTATCGCTAAAAGCGATTTCTTCCAGACAACCTTTGGATGAACAGGATTACAAAAGCAGAAAGTTGTGTGGTTTGGTGATGCAGAGACAATATTTATAAAGATTTAATTATAATATATAGAAATAAATAACAAATAAAGACATAAAATACGAATGCATACATATATAGATGGCACGAATTCAAAGGTTAAGATAGTGGTTGTGTACAAGCTTCCGAAAAACAGATAAAGATTGGGTGCGTCTCACTGACAGAGGTAGTGCATTCCATAGACGGACTGCTTGGATAGTAAACGACCTGTCCAAAAATTTGCTATTATGGGCAGGCATTTTTAATGTAAAATTTTCTGATGATCTCAAAACCTTCGAATGGGAATAGTGAAGGAATTCAAAGCGATCCTTAAAGATAAGAAGGATAGGAAGGATTAAATAGAACATTGTAAAGAAGTGACAGAATATGAGCATTCCGGCGAAGACGAATAGGAAGCCACTTGAGCTTATTACGAAAACAAGAAACATGATCATACTTGCGCAAATCAAATATGAATCTTATACAAAAATTTTGAAGACGCTCAAGTTTATGAAGTTGCTTTTCGGTGAGATCAAGATAGCTGACATTTGAATAGTCCAGAATCGGGAGAAGCAGAGATTGTGCAAGCGCAATTTTAGTGGCAGTAGGCAGAAATTTCCTTAATCTGTTCAATGATCGAGCAGCTGCAAAGAGTTTACGACTAACTTCCTGTATTTGAGGACCCCATGATAGGTAACTGTCAATATAAATTCCCAAGTCTTTGACTTTTTCACTAAGAGGAATAATGTTTCCATCAAAAACAACTTGAGGTGCTTGAGAAAGGTTTGATTTCCCAATCATATTCGAACTTCCGATTACAATTACCTGATCTTTAGAGGGTTAATCTTTAAGCCATATGTTTTTGCACAATCTGATATTTGCTCAAGGTCACTATTTATAGTACTAATAGCTACATATAGTTCACTAGGAGAAACATGAGTATATATTTGAAGATCATCTGCGTATAGGTGGTAGGAAGAAGTAATCTTAGTAGCTATAGAATTAATAAAAATTGAAAAAAGTAAGGGAGATAATACGCCACCCTGCGGGACACCAGCAATGGTATCACACCAAGAAGAAAATGTGTCATCAATGCGAATACATTGCCGGCGCCCAGACAGGTAACTTTCAAACCAACCAATCACTGTTGGAGATATGTTATAAGAACCAAGTATACCCAGTAAAATTTCAAAATCAATTGAATTAAAGGCATTGCTAAAATCTAACAGAGAAAGGATAGTTAATTTGCGATTTTCCATGGCAGATCTTATATCTTCCGTAATATTGACTAAGGCTGTGACAGTACTATGCCCAGGACGAAAACCAGATTGTAGAGGATTTAGAAGGGAATTATTGCGAAGGAAAGCACTGAGCTGATTATATACCAGGCGTTCGAGAACTTTGGATAGGAATGGCAATATAGATATAGGACGATATTCCGAAAAAGATGTAGGGTTGGGCTTTTTAGGCAACGGTATGATGTGAGCGTCTTTCCAAGTTGATGAAAAAACACCACAGGAAATCCATTTCTTGTGGTGTTTTGGAGTTGAGGATATGGCAAACTATTGGGATGATTATGTCAAGAACCGGAAGGATCATATTACGGCTGATACAGTCGCTGCCAATTGCATTTGAAGTAATGGATAGAATACTCTTCTTAACATCACAAGCAGAGAATTGATTTAGAACAAAAGATGAATGATCAGGAGTTGGAAGCGATGAAAGAAAATTTAATGTGTTCAATTTTGTAGCTCCATTTAATTTGGAGGAGGATGAGAAGTGATGATTTAGTAAATCAATATTTAAGTCTTTAGAGAGTACAATATTACGGGACTTTCCAACCCCCATTGATCTAAGAAAACTCCAGACTTTAGCTGAATCACCAATTTGTACCGATTTATGGATATAGTGGCATTTAGCATCCCTACACACCCTATTGCAGTGATTTCGAATACTAACATATTTTCCCCAGTTTATAGATGTAGGCCTACATTTATATTTTGTCTTGGCTGCAGCTTTTTTATTTAAAATGGTTTTTATTTCATCAGTCAGCCATGGTGAAGGAAGATGTCTCATTTTAATTACGCGAACTGGTGCGTGTTTATCATAAAGACAGGTTAATTTAGTCGTAAATATTGCAACTTTATCGTCAATAGAGTCTGCACTTAAAACGGCTGACCAATCAATGTTGGAAGCATCTTTGCAGAGATTTTCAACATGCATACTACGGAAAATGCGTTGCAAAAGGAATTTAGACTTAAGTTTAGGTGGCCGGACATTATAAGAGAGAAATATAAGATCATGGTAAGAGAAGGCATCGGCTGGACACTGACCATGCTTAACAGCGAAGTCAGAAGAGGACACAAAAATAAGGTCAAGCAATGACGGAGTAGCATTAGGGAAGTGATGAGTAGAATTTAAAGGTAAAATAGAGAGATTAGTGGAATTTACGATGGATCGAAGAGAGGATGAACGAGAGTCTTGTTTAAGCAGACAAATATTAAAGTCACCCATAATGATCGTGTGCGAGTAGGAAGATACATTTCCTAAAATATTTTCGAAGGAAGTGAAGAAGTCGATACGAGATGAAGGACAGTAATATACACCCAGAAGAATTTTAGTATGACTAAGCTCCACCTCAATAAAAAGATGTTCACCTGCATTAGGCGGAGATGGTTGAGATGACATATCAACAACAGAAAAGGGAATATACGCTCGGAGATATATTGCCACACCACCACCACCACCCACAGTAGGATCATTTCTTATGAGATGAAAGCCAGGTAAAGAATAATTAATGGAAGGGAGACAAGGTTTAAGCCATGACTCAGAAACGAGAATAGCATGAATATCCTTAGAGTCAAAGGTAGCCAGCATATCTGAAAAGTGAGCCGGAATGATTTGGGCATTTATGTGCACAACGTTGAAATTTTTGGGAACATCAGAAAAAAAGCTAGTATTTCAGAGAGAGTCTGTAAGCTAGGGACACTGTCACCATCACTATCTGTAGTTAAATATGTTTCAGTATCACTACTAATGTCTAAATAAGACATTACAAAATAAAAATTTATGTCTATATAAAATAAAATAAAATAAAACGTATAATAAATACAATACTATAAAAAAAATTAGTTTATAAATTTTCTAAAACTAAAAACAAATAAATAAAAAATACTTTAGTGTCCACCTGCCAGTTGAGTGTTTCGATAAATTATCTGTACAACACTTTAACAATAAATGGAAATAAAAAATTAGTTTAATAATGAACTTCTTATTAAAGTAGGATTAAGTGAAAGAAAAAAAAAACAATAAGGGTGCATAAAATAAACACCGTTAAGGGAAACGCAACGGTCAGTGCGTTATTTAGCATTACATTATTGTTATAGTGCAACATAACCTTGAAATTGTGATTTTTGTGTTAACGTTGACTGTAGTATTCAGAACAAAAACTAATGACATCTATGCATTTTACAATATTTCACATTGTCAATTTTTAAGTATACAGATGTTTTGGTATAATAAATGGAAAGAGGGGTTCATAATTATTATGCTTATTTTATGTACATTCAATGGTAAAAAAAAAATTGCACTAAAATTAAAGTTACAAGTTAAAGTTAAAGGCACAAACCTCCTCAAATTTATCAGAGTGTTTTGCACTACGCTTACACTAAATACTCAAAGAAATAAGTCACACAAGCTATTAATTGTAATTGTATAACATTAAGAGAGAGAAAAAAATGACAATATTTAGGCATGGCAAATCCTGTACACTAAACACTTCTTCACGGCGGCGTTTCGCTTGGGCTTCCCAGCTGCAGTTTTCGATACTGGTTTTGGGCTTGTCTGGCACTCAATTTTGTTGATGTCATTCAGACTGGTTATACGATGTCTGGTTCCATCAGGTTTCGCAACGTACACAGATCCATCTTTAGTCCAGCATTTGGAAATACCAAATTTTTCACGGGCAGCTACAAAAATATCATTACGAAGCTTGGTGAGAAATTCGGATACTGTGACTCCGGAGCCTTTAAGTTGGGATTTTGCGTACCAGACTTTATCACGCAACCCTACATCTAAGAATTTCACTAAAATGGGTCGAGACTTGTGAGGAACTGTTGGTCTACCCAATCTGTGACAACGCTTAATATCACTGACAGAGACGTTAGCTAATTTCAACTGATTTTGCAGAACCTTGATGACAGCCAAATCGGTGTTTTCTTTTGCAATCTCTGGAACACCATGAAGCAGTAACATTTTCCTTCGGCTTCGCATCTCCATGCTATCAGCATTACGAGCAAGTAACTCCATCTGCTGCTGAAGACTGTTTAGTGCCTGCACTACAAACGTCTTGAAAGATGCAAACTCAGCTGCCAGAGAGGTAGTACTGGTAGATGTGCTGGGCGTTTTCTGCAATTCTTCCTCAAAAACATCCATCCTGTTATGAAACACTTCCATCAAACTGGACAGAGTGTTTTTAATTGTCGAGTCCATGGTATAGTGCTGAATTGAGAGAGGTTATAAAAGTAAAAAAAGTGTTGTAATTGTGGTTAGATTAAGAAGAAAACACTCACAGACAGGTAGATTAAGCTAACTTTTCATTACTAGCACTTGATATATAATATTTTACGAATTATGTATTAATTTTAATTCTCTAATTTTAA